CGCATTTCACACATACTTGTACACCTGGTATAATGCGATTTATATAACTATATAGTGAACAGAGTTGAGAACTTTACCTTAAAAAAATAACGTGTTACTGTCACAAGTCATTCATTTTAAAAAGCGTGTTACTGTTACCTTTACTTGAAAATGTAACGGCTCTTTATTTTTCGGAGAATTGTTGAGTTTAGCTCTCTGTTCGAGCTTGAACTATATTGCCGATGAGAGGTTTGACAATGAGAACACCCTTTGTGACTTGATTAACTCGTAATAATACCTTTATTGTACGAAATTGGCTTATACTCGTCGTACGTTGCACGAAGATATATATTTAGTGAAAGTCGCTATCAGCTAGTGGCGTCACGGTACCGGAAAGCCGCTGACAGCGCCTTTCGATAGTTGGTAAGGTAGCTGTGAGCGTTACCTCTAACATACTTCTCCCTTTGGAAAGAGTGAGCTTTACAATAACTTAAGAAGTCAGATATGAGGACATAATGTCTAAGGAATCTATATAAACTTAAAATCTAATATAAATGTACATGAACTTATAATGTATATAAACTTAGTTTGCATATTATAATTGGAATAACAAAGTTTTTGGAATATGACATTTTTCGGCTTAGTGCCTTCGATGAACTATTTAATAATATAATGATTGAATAATATAGTAATTAAGCGGTTACATTGTCGTTTAGCGGTAGGATACAAATTTTGGGTAAAGTTCGTTTGCTTGACCCTTGTTTAGTACGCACAGTAACTAGACGAATAATTCCGTCGGGCCCCGGATGTACTTCAGTGATGCGGCCTAAAGGCCAAATCATTGGAGGCGTCCTTTCATCCTTAACGAGCACCATGGTGCCTATCTTTAATTTTAAACATTTACGAGTTTTCCATTTAAATCGCTGTTGTAATTGTGACATGTATTCGGACGACCATCGCTTCCAGAAATGCTGTTTTAATTGTGACAGTACTTGATAGCGTGTTAAGTGATTTGATGGTGTTTGGTTAAAATCGCGATCTGGAATAACTGTGATCGCTTCACCTATGATAAAGTGACCTGGCGTCAGCGCTTCAAAATCGGTGGTGTCCTCGGAGATCGGAGTAATGGGCCTTGAGTTAAGGCACGCTTCTATCTGCGTGAGGATAGTATACAATTCCTCAAAATATAGCAAGTGGGTGCCAACGATTTTTCTCATATGCGTCTTTGCCGATTTCACCGCCGCTTCCCATATTCCTCCCACGTGTGGGGAATATGGTGGAATGAACTTCCATTCTATAAATTGCTCTGCTAAGTACTCGTGTATCTGTTTTTGAGTAGTCTCTTTTAAGAGATGCTTCTTTAAATCTACTAATTGGTTGTTGGCGCCTACAAACGTAGTGCCATTGTCCGAATATAACGCGATACATTTTCCCCTTCGGGAGATGAATCTCTTCAGAGCATTGAGAAAAGCCGTAGCAGTTAAGTCAGACACTAATTCAAAATGTACAGCCTTTGTGGCCAAGCATACAAAAATCGCTAGATAGGCTTTACCCGTCTTGTTTCTTGTTATTTTTATACTAAATGGGCCAGCATAATCTATACCAGTATTAAGAAACGCTCTGGCCTGAGTGACCCTAACCGCTGGCAGATCTCCCATCAATTGATTCGGGTTTGTTGGCCTGGCACGAAAGCAGACGATACATTTTCTCAGTACTCTACGTACTTCGCTCCTACCAGCTATTGGCCAAAAATCATTACGAATTGCCGCTAGGACCGCTTGTGGTCCTGCATGCAAGTTTTTATAATGCGTGTCCCTTATAATTAACTCGGTGAGATGATGCTTTTGCGGTAATACGATAGGGTGCTTTTGTGAATATCCTATTGGTGCGTGACGGAGCCTCCCCCCCACACGAATGGTACCGCTAGAATCGATGAATGGGTGTAACGTTGAGAGTTTGCTTTTTATATCTACTCTATTATTTTTATGGAGATCTTTTAACTCTTGTGAAAATTCACTTGCCTGACAGACCTTAACGATTGCCGATATTGCTGATCCTAACTCTTTTACCGTCAACGGTCCGCTGGTTTGATTTGCGGTTTTTAATGAATTGTTTTTGAATCTAAGACAATAAGCTATTACTCGCTTTAATTTAGCGAGTGATGAAAACCTTTCAATGATAGAACTAAGTTCAACTGACGCGAGAATTGTTGGATTCACCTTGCGTCCTTCAGGCGTGTGACCTTCGTTGCCCTTGCAATCATATGGCTGCATTTTCGTATTGCGCTGCAGGAATTTTGGACCTTCCCACCAGATTGTTTGTGACTTTAATTTGTCAGGGCTGATTCCCCTTGATAGTGGATCAGCGGGATTGTCCTCTGATTTTACATAGTACCATGCTGCCTTGTTGGTGATGCGCTGTATCTCAGCGACCCTATTTGCGACGAATGTATGCCATTTGTTAGGCTCGTTCCCGATCCATGATAGAGTTATCGTTGAGTCGCTCCAGTAGTATGTATTATGAACAGTGATGTTCAATGCTTGTGAAGCCTTTTCGGAAAGGCGTGCTAATAAAACTGCTCCACATAATTCTAATCTAGGCAGTGATACCTTTTTTAAGGGAGCTATTCTAGATTTGGCGCATAGTAGCCTTGTGATGTATGTGTTTTCGTCCGTGCTACTGCGAATGTATAAGCAAGCACCATATGCCGCTTCAGATGCGTCACAAAACCCATGTAGTTCTGTTCGATCTTGTTGGTTCTCTAATACCCTCCTGGGTATTGAAATTTGTTGAACGTTGTGAATTTGAGATCTCCACTGCTTCCACATTTCCAACATTTCTCCTGAGATTGGCTCATCCCAACCTTTATTGGTTTGCCACAAGCGTTGTAGCAATATTTTCGCTTTGACTATGCTTGGCCCTAACCATCCGAGGGGGTCGTATATTTGCGACACTTGAGTTAACACCTTACGTTTGGTGATTTTGCTTGTTTCTTCTGACAGCCGCAATCTGTATTGAAATACGTCTTGATTTACGTCCCAATGTAATCCTAGTATTTTTGTAGGTTCGCCAATCTCCACCATGGAATTGCTGGAAGTATTCTTATCGCTAATTTCCGGTATGTTGGACCTCCATTTTCGCAGTTCGAATCCAGCACTGTTTAGTATTTTAGTTGTACTTTGTCTTAACTGCTTGAGCTCTTTGACTGTGGATGCCCCCGTTAGTAGGTCGTCTACGTAGAAGTCGTTCAATATGGCCCTACTTGCTTCAGGACATTCTTTTTGATGTTGCGATGCTATTTCCTGAAGGCATCTAATGGCTAGAAAGGACGAACAGGCTAAGCCGTACGTGACTGTTTTGAGGCGAAACGTGCGAATAGGCTCATCTTCATTCCATCTCCAAAGAATCCGTTGCAAATGAGTGTGCTCATCAATAACTTTGACTTGTCGATACATTTTTGCAATGTCTGCAGACATTGCATATCGGTGCTGACGCAGGCGGAGAATGATGCTAAACAGATCCTGTTGTATGGTGGGTCCGACCCTTAGGCAGTCATTTAATGATATTCCAGTGGAGCTTTTACAAGATGCGTCGAATACTACTCTGACCTTTGTTGTTTCGCTATCTTCCTTAGTAACTGCGTGATGCGGAAGATAGTAAGATAATTTGCATTGTGCGTCCTTTTGCAATACTTCTTCCATATGATTTAGGTTTAGGTATTCTGATATGAAGCTGCTATAGGTCTGTTTGAGTTCCGGTTGCCGTTTGAGCTTTCGCTCAATTGCCTTGAAACGTTTTGTTGCTGTTTCCATGGATTCGCCTAATTCATCTATGTTGCCCTTCAGCGGTAGCTGCACTATGAATCTCCCTTCAGAGTCCCTGGCATGTGTTTCTAGAAAATGCTGTTCACATATTTTTTCTTCCTCCGAAACGGGTGGTGATTGCACCATCTCCTCTATGCTCCAGAATTTTTCTAATTGCTTGTGTAAAGTTGTAGTCATCCCGCAATACGACCTTTTCTGCTGACATGCATTGGTCGTTTCCATTGGACCCGCAGCGATCCATCCTAGACGTGTTTCTTGAAAAACGATGGATTGATTTGATCCTCTGACTTGTCCTCCACTTATGAGGTCCCAAAATATAGAGGCTCCCAATAACATGTCTACGTCGCTGGGAATATGGCATGTTGGATCTGCTAGTTCTAAATTATTTGGAATATCTAACGCTGTTTTATTTATTTTGTGTATCGGCAATCGTTCTGTGATTTTATCAATAATTAAGAAATGAAGATCGGTCTTAAATTCATTCACGCGCGATTGAATGGTTGCTTGCGTTTGTTGAGCTATTTTTATTGGTATATTACTTATGCCCCCGATGGACATATTGATTGTTTTTTGTTTTAAATTTAATTTTTTACTGAGTTCCTTTGTAATAAAGTTAGATTGTGAGCCGCTATCGAGTAAGGCTCTGCATTCGTGTGGAGCACCGTCTCTATCACGCACCAAAACGACGGCAGTTGACAAAAGAACTTGAGTGCCTCCCTCTAAATTATAATTATTTAAGGTAGCTATGCATTTGTTTGATACAACGGCAACCCCTTGATTGGCCGTCGCGGACTCGACGCTTTCTGTTTTTGAGTTACTGCTATTTGAAGTTTCAGAAGTTGTTTTGAGTCTATGTAATAATGTATTGTGATACCCGCGACATTCTTTGCAGTTGGGAGCTTTACAATTTCTACCATGAAACTATTAAGACATTTGAAGCATAATTTTTTCTTTTTCACTTCAGCGCCTCTATCCTCCGCTGATAAACTAAGAAATGCTTTGCATTCATGCAATTTATGATTTTTGGAACACATTGCGCAAGCTCCTTTGTCCGTTGAAACATATGCTTGAGCGACATTTTTATTTTGCGGTTGAGTTACTTTATTGCTGCGCGCGTCGCTGGGGGGCTGCGCATTTCGATTCGTATGAGATAACGCCTCTAAAAACATGCTACGATTCGTTAAAAAATCCATGAATTCCGCTAGAGTTGGAAATTCCTCTCTGTTAGATCTTTTTAACTCCCACTCCCTTCGCGAACCTTTATCCACCTTTGGTAATATAATGTGAATTAATAATGTGCCCCAGCTGGCGACAGGCTGCTCAAGCTTTGTTAAGGTTTGAATGTGCTGCGATGCATTATCTACCAACTGCCTTAAATCTGAGTACGATTCTTTATTGATAGACGCTAAATCGAGCAATGCTTGAATGAGATACTGAACTATTAAACGTTTATTTTCGTACCTATTTTTTAATAATTCCCAAGCGATAACATAGTTATCGTTGGTTATTTCTAACGAGGCTATTATCTTAGCTGCTTCGCCAGTCAGTGCAGATCTTAAATAGTATAATTTTTGAACAGCTGTAAGAACCGAATTTGTCGCTATGAGTGACTCAAATAAATCTCTAACCGGCACCCACCGTTCATAATTTCCATCAAATTTTGGCAGATCTATGGTTGGTAATATCGCGCGCGTTTGAACAATTGCAGTTTCGTTTATTGCTGCCGCATGCGGCTGAATTATCGCCTGAGATATGCCTGCCGCGGGCTAAGAATACATTGGATGATCTTTCAGCTTGATTTGCCTGGCCTTGCTTATCAATTCGTGATACGAATCTTCAAAAATTGTGCGCTGCTGCGCCTGCGTGTCAGAGTTATCTAGATCTTCTATTTTGTTTTGTAGCAACTCGAATTCATTCCATAATTCTTCTGCTTTTTCTAAACGACTGTTAATTTCTACTTGTCTTTCTGGCTCGATGGCTATCAGCGCGAGATAATTACCGAATGCAGTGAGCTTGGCCTTAGTGCGGCCTCTTTGTTTGATCAAGCTCGAAAGATCATCCATTTTGCAATAATTTTTGGCCAGTCAACCTGAGAGAAAGCTATGCTACAAGACAATGCGATCGAAACGCAACTATATTACAAATGACAATACAGTATGATATAATGCGCTCCG